CCAGTGTCGCCGATCCAGTCACCTCCAGAGAAGCAGACCCACCGCAAAGGCCGCGCCCCGCTCTCCGACATCCGCAACACCAGCAACGCAAATGCTAATCGCCTTGACCAGCACTCTCCTCATCTGCAGCTGCCTTCGCCAGGGTTTGCCCGACACAAGGGATTGATGGCCACGTCTTCCCCCGGAAAATATCTGCGGTCCTCTCCCTTGTGCAAGCAGATGCAGCAGCAGCAGCAGCAGCAGCAGCAGCAGCAGCAGCAATACGTGCGCTACGGCAGCCATCAATCCTCACCTCGACAGCAGGCCCCGGCAGCCACGTCGTCGACATCACCGCGAGGCATGTCTACTCCATTTGGCAAGCGCCCGCCATCATCTTCGGCGTCATCATCAGTGCGGCGGTCACAGCGAGGGACACGCGCGCACAGTGGCGGCGTGCCGTCGACACCAACGGCAACAACATCATCAGCATCTACCCCCTGGCTCCGCAACTCGTTCTATGGCAGCAACCCGGGATCATCACGCCGCACACCGGGGAGACAACAACACCACCCGTTTATGGACTCGCATATGGACCACTTCCCGGACCTGCAGTCGTGGCTGGCCGAACCGGCACCTCCAGGACACGACAGCGAATTTGAAGCCTCCCAGTGTGAAAATGGCGGGAGCAATGCTGCTGGTGCTGACAAGCAAGACGGTGGCGATGATCAGTTCGCCCAAGACGAGCAACAGCAACAGCAACAGCAGTTGGACAAAGAGAACGAAGAGGAGGATGAGGATGAAGCCCTGGACAACTTCAACTGGTCGATTGAGGATCGCGCCGTCTTTGTGAGTCATAATGCACTGTCTTTGACATGCTGTCGCTGCGCTCTATGCACAAGGGCGCGTTGACTGTTAAACACCAAGGTTGGCTGTGCCTCATTTCTGACAGCCCAGACTGCGCTCAAACGTGGCAAACATATCTCACTGCGTCTCGGTTTGTCGTGGTTGTCAGTTTCCTGTGGAGATGGACGAGCACAACCCGGCCAAGGTAGATCCCAACTGGTTCAAAACAAAGTAAGCACCAACAATGATCGTGTGTGTGTGTGTGTGTGTGTGTGTGTGTGTGTGTGCGAGTCTGTGTGCTAGACGCGCCCGGTGTGCTTGTGGCTGCATATCGCACGCCAACGCGTCTCACATTCAATGCCATCTATCACAGGCTGACGCCATGCCGTCTTCGGAAGTGTGAGCAGAAGGAGCAAGAACTTGAACACCAGTTTGACAACGTGAGAATAGACCCTGTCCATGCGTGCGTGCGTGCGTGTGGGCGTTTGTGCCTGCGTGTGTGCGTGGGTGTATATCACCAACGAAGACAACCTCTTGCTCACCTCCCAATATGCGCGCCCGCTCACATCAACATGCACGAAATGTGCATTCCCAACTTACATTTCCATCACTCAATACAGTACTTTCACCCATCAAACAAGATTGTGCCATCACCATCACCCTGGCGCTCGCGCGCACCCCGCGGGCCGCGCTTTCCAAACGTGTTCAAGGCTGTTACTGCATCTGTTGCCCCGCACAAGAACAAAACGAGCAACGATGGCAACGACGACGATGACCACCGTCACGTGAACGCGTTGCGGCAGGAGCTGGAACGCGCGTGCATTGAAGAAGTGCCAGAGATTCAAACGCAGGCGCCACAGCAGCAGCAAGAGAAACCAGTCATGAGCACAGTGGCATGCCAGACCAACTTCAGTTTCCCGCCAACGGCCGTGGTGACCTTCACAGTCGCTGACGGTGGTGCGTGCAACCGGTTGCGGCAGTCACAAGAGGAGGAGGAGGAGGAACCAACAGAGGTGCGCGTGAATGTGAAGGTGGCCACACAGACAACAGCAACAGCAACAGCGGCAGGTGCCGATCTATTTAATGTCAGCGCCATTGAAGCCATGGAAGACACCACCAGCGGCGAGCACCTTGTGGACGGCGACAGCAGCCAAGTTGCACCCTCCCCGCAAGGCAAGCAGCCACGGGACGAACAAGAACAGCAACAGGAGCAGCAGCAGGCACGTGCGCCACCTGCCATAGTGGTGTGTTCGCCAGATGCTTCGAGTAGCGATGACCCGGACAATGTGCAGCAAGACGACAACGGCAAGGCCGACAATGCTGCTGCAGAGGGCGACGTGTGCTCGCAGCAGACTGAACACGGCAACAGCAAGACCACGGCGAACGTGGATGGAACGTACCTTGGTCCCGATGCAGGTGACGCTGAGCTTGGCGTGTGTCCCATTTCACCTCAACGCAAGCAGCACCAGGCACGGCCCTCTGAGGTACCAGGCACCACCACAACAGCAACAACAACAACGACACCTCTGACAGCGACGCTGGTGCCTGAGCCAAGCACATCCCCTTTTCACATATTTGTTGAAGATTTAGAAAAGTCACAGCAGCATCAGCAGCAGCAGAGTGTTGTGTCGCAGTCGAGTCGCCCCGCGTCAAGTACGCCTCGCAAGCGCGCCCGTGTTCGCAGGAGCACGCGTGCGAACAGCCTCAATGGTACCGATGGCGACAACCCCAACGTGCTGCCTGTGTCGCGCATCTTGTCTATGCACGCCGACACCGTCATCAACACTGGCAGTGTGTCACGGCAGAGCTCGCCCATGCGAGGGCGGTCAAGAGGGTGCTCGTTCTCCCAGCAAATGCAGCAGCAGCAACAACAACAACAACAACAACAACAACAACAACAACAACAGCACGGCCACGATATTCATAACCTGAGCAACGCTTCTCTCTCGTTTATCGTGTGGGAGAACGATGTGGAGGATGCATGCCAACCCGCGCCCTCGCCCTACATGCGCCCCGTCGCACCGCCACCACTGCTCTCGTTTGCGGAGGAGCACAACAAGCACGCGCTGGTAGCACTGTCATCGCCAGTTGTCATTGCGCGGGGCGACCCGACTGACACCGCGGACGATGACAGTGAATGGGAGGCAGTGCTCACGGAACGGACGCTTCACCCACGCACGCTCAAGGAAGCGTTGGAAGGCACCGGTGGCATTGGTGGTGACGGACGTGTTGATGATGAGAAGACGAAAGTGGGCACATGCGCCCGTCCACAGCCCATCTACGCCACCGGCAACGGCGATGACGATGATGATGACGGCGGTAGCGACGAGCACAGCAGCATGTCCGACAACGACGAAGGCGCTGTGGGCAACGATGGCCATGGCGATGGTGATGTACACCGGCAACAGCTTGCACACCCCATGCTGGCTGGTGTACATGCCCTCAACGCGAGTGACACCAGCGGCTGCTTCCTTCGCGTGCCAAATGCAGAGACAACAGCTGCCACAGCGACGATTGGCTGGGGTCCAGATGCAGACCCGCACGATGCCTGCAAGCACGATGGCGAGTGCGATGGCGACGGAAAGAAGTGTGCCTGCACGCGGTGCACGCTGACCACGCTCTCGTACAGCATCGAAACGCTTCGGCTCTCGTGCACGGCACTGACTGAGCGCGTACAGCTGCGGCGACACACGCCGCTGCCTTCCCAGTCGGACTGCGCCAGCGACGCCGAGTGCGCTGGCCCTGAGCGCAGTGAAGATGACGTGGGTAGCGATGATGACGAGCGTGATGTTGGTGGTGATGAGCACACTGCTCACGGTGGCGCAAACGATGAAGACCACGAGGAGCAAAGCGGCGGTGAGGAACAGCGTGGCGGCCTTGCGGATGTGGGGGAGTTGGAGACCTGCCGCGAAACCGATGATGAGGCCGACGGCGATGTGTCCTCTCTTGAACGCGACGAAGGCGACAAGATGAAAGAGAGCACGAGCAGTGGCGCTGAAGATGAAGATGACCATGGTGAAGCGCTTCGTGAAGAAGTAGACACCAGTGCTGATGCAGATCAGGAGGGAGGTGTGCAAGCCATGCGCTTCAGCCCCGTGATGGTGGCGGCATCCGCACGACCGCAAACACCACCACCACCACCGCCGCCGTCACGAACGCCGACGACAGCCGTGTGGCATGACGGCCATGACATGGGCGCGGAGAGCCGCGCTTTTCTGCGCATGGATCACACGGAGCGTGAGCATTTGCCGTGGCTGCGGCAACACCCCTCCGCAGGCGCTGCCATGTTCGATGACCGTGCGCCGGCGCAGGTCAGCACACCAAGCCGGCCGGCAACGGCAATGAGCATGCGTCGCAGCAGCCGCGGTGGCGCGACTCCACGCAGCGCTCTCTCCAGCGGCGCTGTCAGCCCCATCCTGGGCGCAGACGTGCCGCGGCAGCGTGTCTTCCACGTCAACAAGCGCAGCAACGCGGGTACCTCTTCTGCACCGCAGGACCAGCGCCACCACCGGCGCATACAGCCCTCGCCACCAGCAGCCATGCACACGCGCACAGCGCCCAACACGCCGTCTGACCTTATGCCGGGGCTGCACGCGCGCCTGGCCGCCATGCGGGTTGAGACGAGCAGGCTGGTGCGGAGTCACGCAGAGTCATCTTCCTCGGTGCTATCACCGTCGCCAAAGTTGATGCCGTCTTCTCGGCCGCGTGAACTGCCAAAGCCCCCGACGGACCACGCTCAGCAGACCAACCGCAGCAGCACGTTGTACAACCAGAGCTCTTTGCACACTGCGGACGATTCATACGCGCGCCTGGGCATGCTTCCTCTTCAGCGCGACCAGCAGCAGCAGCGCCGTCAGCGCGCTCGCGGTGCTCCTTTTGCTTCTTCCCGTGTTACACCTGCTTCTTCAAGCTCCGCGATTGCACCGACAACGACGCTGGCCCGCGTTGACCTGGGACACCTGCACCTCGACGCACACCGCTTCTCCCGTCACAACAAGCGCACAAAGCCGCGATGAGGAGTTGGGGAGCGGAAGAGCTGGTGGTGCACTCTGCTTCCGCTCGCCAACATTTCAGCAGGCCGAGCTCTGTGCTACTGTTTGTGGTGTTGGTTCCGAAAAATAAAAATGCACCAATTGTTTATTTTGAGATACTTGATGGGTGTTTTGGTCATTTTTCAACAACCCAGACGAAAACACACGGCAAGGTGTGAAAGCGGAGATGGAAGCTGCGCAGTGTGTGTGTGTGTGTGTGTGTGTGTCTGTGTGTCTGTGTCTGTGTGTGTGTGTGTGTGTGTGTGTGTGTGTGTGTGTGTCTGTGTCTGTGTGTCTGTGTCTGTGTCTGTGTGTCTGTGTCTGTGTCTATGTGTCTGTGTATCTGTGTGTCTGTGTGTGCTTCTCTTTTTGTGTCATTCAAACCTGTCTGTTCTCTTGACACAACTACGTTTGTTCGTGCACATGGCAACACCAGTAGCGGCGTTTGTTCGCCTCATTGCCCCTGTGCTCACATGTTCCTGCTTGCTACTCCAACCTTGCAGCCCACCCTCCTCTTCCACCAACCGCCACCAACTACAACCAACCATGTCTGCATCCTGGAGGGCCGCTGGTCTCACGTACGTCATTGTTGTTCTTGTTGTTGTTGTTGTTGTTGTTGTTGTTGTTGTTGTTGTTGTTGTTGTTGTTGTTGTTGTTGTTGTTGTTGTTGTTGTTGTTGTTGTTGTTGTTGTTGTTGTTGTTGTTGTTGTTGTTTAACTTGGTGTTGTTGAAGTTGTTGTTTAAGTTGTCGTTGTTGTTGTTGTTGTTGTTCTTCGTCTCCTTGTTGTTGTTGTTGTTCTTCTTCTTCTTGTTGTTCTTCGTCTCCTTGTTGTTCTTCGTCTCCTTGTTGTTGTTCTTCTTCTTGTTTATTGCCTTGTCCTTAACACCCCTTCGCTGCCTCCTCCAACCCATAGCTCACCCCGCAACTGCCTTCCCCCGCCCCCTCATTTTCTGAACAGGTACATCCAGTTCTCGAACATTGCTGCGCGCATGGTTCGCCATGCCCTGAAGCCCGAGGCCGCCAAGGAGGCGACCAAGCGCGCCGGCGGTAACATCAACGTCCGCCTGTACGAGAAGGGCAAGGTCGTCTCACAGAGTAAGTCCTTGCGACGTGTAAACAATGGTGATGGTGCGTGTGTGTGTGTGTGTGTGTGTGTGGTTGGTTGGTTGCCTGACTCATGTTTGTGGCGTGGGTGCGTGCCAGTTTTGTGCATGTTTTTGCTGCTCCTTGTCAACTGTATTCGTCCTCCATTGCGCCTCGCTCTGCCGCACCCCTCATACATGCACATAACACCCAAACACACCCTGCAGAGCCCTTCACCACCCACCTGAAGGCCTGAGTAGTGATGAGCTGAGTGTTGTGTGGAAAGTGCGCTTGTGTTTCGTTGTATTGTTGTTGGCGAGTTAGCGTGTGGCTGGTGTATCTGTGTACGTCGCATGTGATTAAGTGTGCATGTTATGTGTTTGTGTGGCGTATTTTTGTTTGTGTTTGTGCGCGTGTGCTTCTGCAGATGCTGTCACTGCCAGCCGGGTTAGCGTGCGCCATCCCGAATCGTTGTGCTTGTTGCTTCCAATGCCAGTAAACAACACAACCGTGACTGACACCTCTGCCAGGAAAGATTTATGTCTTATGTGGTCTCCACAGCCACACACACGTACGCTGGCGTACAAGCTGCGCCCAATGTACACCCCTCACCCTCGCAACAAGCACAGTCACAACACAACACCTACGCCTACACCAAAGCCACCACCAAAAACGTCCGCGCCACTACCACCACCACCATCACCGCTGCTGCTACCTGCGCCTGTTTTTTGCCTTTCTCGCCTCAAACCCGCGTGATTTCGCACCCAGTCGCTTCCCGCGCAGCGCAGCAATCTCCAGCTCAAGCGGTAGCCGTTCCACCACGCCAACACCCTGAGCGCCGTGTGATGGTGTGGTGGTGTGGTGTGGTGTGGTGTAATGATGTGGTGGGGATGGGGTCGACACATCCAAGATATCCATCAGATATTCGCCAAGTTCATGTCAAGGCAGCCGACACAAAGAAGAGGCACACAGCGCACGGAGTTCAGCACCGCCACAGCAAACAGCACAGCAAACAGCACACTGACCTGCGGGGCCCAGACGGTGATGGTCACCTCAGCCTCATCTGCATATGTAATGACGAACGAGCACACGCCTGCCACCGTCACCTCGCCACACGCCCGCTTCCAGCCCGCACCGCGAAAGGTAAAGGTGTGCGGCACACGTGCAGGGAGCGCCTGTAGCAGTGGTAGTGTGTGCGGGGTGGTTCGCGGTGACATGTCAGGCTGTGATGAAGCCAGGTCGTCAAGTCCAAAGCGGTCAAGGGAAACAACAGCAAGGGTGCCATTCACACAAGGAACATCACAACAAAGAAGAGAACACAAACTCTCCGCACCTCTGCTGCTTCGCGTGTGAGCGGCGGCTGGAACGGCGGTGTGCCTGCATGCACGGACAGGAGTTCCAGCACGCGCTCGCTGCGTGTGACGTGCGGGCGAAGGTGCGGACTCGCCACGACCGTCACCAGCGGCGCAGAGGGGCGGGACGCTGTGTGTGTGTGTGTGTGTGTGTGTGTGTGTGTGTGTGTGTGTGTGTGTGTGTGTGTGCGTGTGCGTGTGTGTATGTGTGTGTGTGTGTGTGTGTGTGTGTGTGTGTGTGTGTGTGT